ATGCGAATGAGCCATTTTTAGAAAGTAAAACACTTGGACTTTGCTCCTTAAAATGTCATTTAAGAAAAAGTAGTGAGCAGGAGCTAGACAAGATCTATATAAATTTGAAAAACTAATGGCGTATTTTGCTCTGGGTTAGAACAAACATTTCTGTTGGAAACAAAACTTTCTTCTTCCTTTTAGGCATTTTCAGGGGGTTGGCTCAGACCCCCAGACCTCCTTCTCTACATAACTGTAACTGTCAACTTGAGAACAATCCTTTTTTTCAAAATAATTAAAGTTCTCAGTGAAGCTGACCTTCTCCAGAGGCCCTGCACATAATTCTTGAAAATATTATTTAGAGGAGTTTGGGTTCCTTTGGGTCAACTAAGTCTTTTTCCTCTATTTTACTGTTAACAATGTAATTACATGGAGTAACCCTCATATTAGAAAAAAAATAAAAAAGGAAAAATGAGCTTTTTGTGAGGAAAAAATAAAACTAGCTTTTCAGAGTGCTTCCAAACACACAAAGTAAGCACGCAAAGTATTTTCTCTTTTGTCAGCCTAAATTTTAAGAGCCAGAATGGTTCCACATGAAAATTTATTTTTAAGGTCCTTCATCTCTTTCTAAGACAAAATTTATGCCAAACACTCAGAATTGAAATTTTCTAAAGAACAAGGCAAAAGTACAATCCATCATCCCTCATGAATGAGGGGGGAAAAAAAAAAAATCTCTAAACCAATTTTTAACTTTCCTCAGTTAGACCCCTCCATTTTAACTGCAGAAGAGCAAACAGAGGAAGAATAACTGAAGAGACGGGGGAAGAGGGAAGACTCCTTTTTTAACGCAAACACCATACAACACTTAAATAACAATACGACTAATGTAATGGGGGTGATGGCATCCTTGTGACACTGAACACTTTCAAATGACACAGAACAAAAAAACCCAACCTGACAGCACTGGGTGTTACAGGATGTTACTTTGGATGATAGCACAGATTTGGGGTAAAACAAAACAAGACCAACGCTCTGCTCTAGCACAGCATATTCTATGTATGTGCTGTTGAGTAAACCAGAGTTGTTCATCAGGAGTAGAAAGAGAAGTTTGTGATTTGCACTGAGATTGAATAGTTGGGGTTTTTTACTTACTGGAAGACCAAGGGGCCCTCTGTCACCTTTTTGACCTGGTTCACCCTTCAATCCTTTAAGACCATTTAACCCTGGTTCACCCTAAACGTAAAAGTATAAATGCCAAATTTTTGGTTCTATAACGTGTGTTTAAGCTGGGATAGAAGAAGCCAGTCTCAGAAATGGCTGCAAATTCCAGTTTGAAACAAGGACACAAATTCAACCTTCTCAGTTTACTGGCAATTTACATACTGATATAGTACTGGGCAAAAAGCACCTGGGAGACGTCTGCTGGAGATTTAAAATCTGTGTGAAAAAAACTACAGGAAACTTATGAGTAACAGATTCCTTTGAATCCTTTCCTAATAATTATCACTATAGTTAGATGGTTTGAATTAAGCGTGAGTTTCAGGGTGTTTTGAATTTTCCCCAAATCCCATAAACACCCCTATACAGATAATTCAAACTGAAACAGAACTTGCAGAAGACTAAGCTTCAAAACGAAACGTTTCTATAGTGGGATCTCCCGAAGAGTATATTTTGTAAGGAAGCAAAATTTTTTCTTAAGGCAAACTGGAATTTGCAGCAAAATCTTACATAAAGATATTTTAAACCTTTAAGCACACATAATTAAACAGTGACAAATTAAAAGAAGCAGCCTAGGTTATGCAATGCCAAGCTATCTGGGAGGTCCGCAGTTTCTGTGTTCATACAGAGACTTTTAAACAGTGGAAGAAATGGCACTTGTCTTGTGATTGTTAAATTATGCATGGGCTATTACATTAAACATCACTAAGAGGATAATGGTGGGCTTGGAGTTGCCAATAAATCATTCTCACATAATGAAAAACTCCCTCAGCTTGAGGGCTGCCCAGTCAAAGAGAGTACTGGCCACGCCTGCCTCTTTTGGGAAACAGAAATACACGGGTATTTCATCCAGGTGTCTCCCCATGGCCTTGTTCCTAGGTTTCCCTTTGATGTGCTATGTTACCTTACATCATATTCATTTTTTTTTTTTAAATCTGAATAGAATCTAGTCTGGTGCTGTAAGTAACTCCAGACATCATCTGCCTCCTTTGCACCCTGCCTAAGTAGCCGTTTCTTCATTCTCCTTCTATTTGACTCAATGCGACTTTCAGAGCGGTAGCACTGAAAATGCTGAAGTTTTGGAAACAGACCTGAGAAATCTCACAAGAGCCTGAGTCTCAGGCCAAAAGCCTGAGGTAAGGCAGGGCTGGTGCTAAGATGGAACAGACCTGACCTCAAAAAATGATTTATGACTCAGGCTTCTTGTGCCCGGGTAACACAAACAGTCTCATAACAATTCAAACCTGTGATTTTCTGTCTCACACCCTAAAAAAACCAAAACAAAACCCAAAAACTAAACCAAAAAACCCCTCCTCCTCTGACTTATTTTTTGAGAAAGATGCACGTGATTAGGGAGCCACAGTAATTAAAATGATCGTGCCTGACAACACCACTGGCCCTATCGACTGCTATGCTGTAGCATCACACTGAATTTTAGTTTACTGGTGATTGCTGAATTAAAGTACAAATTAAAATATCCCAACTCTGCCAAAACCTGCTTCCTCCATCCTGAGCTGTTTTCATGGGCTCAGAGAGTCCCTACAGTGTATCTTCATGTACTGTGCTGTGGAAAATGTTCAAACAGTATTGAATACATGCCTGATCATGGATTCCAGGTGGGAAAACGTGAAAATACACACATAAGCTTATGATGGGGAACTTGCATAATGTGTTGAGGAACTGGCCAGCAAAGTACACGGCACCTAAGAAGGTGCAAGGCCATTCGTACTAGAAGAAGTAGGAGAAGCAAGAGAGCATAAATGAAGAAGAGTTTATTTGTCTCCATTTCCTGAGCATATAACACGCTTCTGTGTTCAAAAGGAATGCCAATTGCAAGTGCAGTGGCAAGTAACTTGCCCAGTAACAGGAAACTAAATAATGTGGTGCCACATCACAAATACTAATACAAAAAAAAATGGATTCAGCCAATGCTCAGGAGAACTATTACTCAGAAACAATCACAGAAAATTTAAAAAAACTTTTAAGCTATGTGTCAATATTAACATCTGCTTTAAGGTTTAAGAATATCAGAAACATTTATTAAATGAGACATAAGACAAAACAAGGCTGCATGCATTAGAGAACACAGCATGACACTTCGTAGACATAAAGAACATGACTGTTCAAGACAGCCATTAATTTACCTTTGGGCCAGGCAGTCCATGAGGTCCCTGAAAATAAAGATACCATTTTTCATTATGAAAATACACCACCAATTTTTCAGACTTTGTTGCTTTATAGGGGTGTGAGTTGCACCTGTGTTTTTGTCCTCACAGATGAAATGCAGCTGCCAATAAAACAACCGTAAACACCTGATTCAGAGAATGAACCAGACCACTAACATGTTAACACTAACATAGGCAGGTGCAATTTGTCCCTCTACTTCCTATGAATTTTAAGACATGCAGAAAAGGCCCTAAATTAGGTCCCTCTCTAATGGTCACGTACTCTGATAGCACTTCTGTTAGGCAGGCATTAAAGTGACAAGAGGGCTTAAGCCCTTTCTAGACCCACTCTTCCTCCCAAGCTTACCATAGGGCCTGGAGGACCATGTGGCCCTGGTGGTCCAGGTGGTCCTATCATCTACAGATAAAAAACAATGGCATTAAATCATACAGAGCAAAGAATTCCCTGACAAATACCAAAAGTCAGACTGACTCTTCTGTTGGCAAGCACTTACAAACATAGCAATGTGATGGTGTGCATTGACAGCATATTCAGGAAGGGTTTTAGGAATGGGAATTATTTTGATTCGAAAGACAGGGTACCTGAAGTGTAGATTTACCTGTGCCATATGGCATGCCTGTCTCCCAGTTCTTACTCCTACGATCTAAATATATACTTTAAGACACTATGGGAGAAAAAAAAAATCTCTCTAAAACAAACAGTCCTGAGCAGGGATGCTTGAACTTTTAATATTTTATGGTATGTGCTTCTTAGATGTCCCTGTACTAGATAATCTACAGCAACAGAAGATGATGATGTGTGATTTTATTCCTCCCCAATACTGATGAATGGAAAAGATACTAAATTCAAGCTAGGGTTTGTTGTATTTTCAAAATTGCCCTTTGTCTCTCCTTTTATTTCATTTAGCCCACTTGTCCCAAGAATTCCCTGAAGTCATTAAAATAGGTAATCAGGTTGCTCAGCATTTAGCACACGCATATTCTGTGCTTGTTGTCTGTGTTCCTAACAAATGAGCCCTGAAACATAAGACAGCGGTCCTACCGCCTGTGAAATCTCCTGAAAACCAAAAGCCTTCGTTCAAGTGAAAACGAGCAGAGCAAGATGAACGAGTTAGTGAACTAATTTGCTACAAATTCATTTTCATTTCAGAGAAAGACAGTTGGAGATACAGGGTGCCTAGCGTGTCCTGCGGTGGCAGAGGGCAACCTCTTGGACTCCTCAGAGCTATGGCTCCAAATACCCAGGGCATGACACCACTGACAAGGCAGTGGTAGTTAACTTCTGCTCTGAGGTTTCCTAGCTTACTGTGCTCTGATAATGTTAATCATCCATATCATAAAGGTATTGTGTGGGGAGGCTCTTGTTTTAAGGGTGGTTTTTTTTAAATGTCTTTACAATGCTTTGAAAAATCAAGAGAATGTCTGGTCTCGTAAAACTAGTCTCTATCCTGGGTCACATGCTGCTATTCCTGACATGGCTGAAGTCAGACCAGTCTGGTTCTCACCGGACTTTCTGAGATCCCCAGAATACAAGGTGTTGAGAGAGATTTGTTTGGGGTTTGGTTTATTTTTTTCCATCAGTTTTATCTATTTTATCTTGCAAAGCATTTATCTTTTGATTCATTACAGAGCCAGAAGGCTTTCACTGAAGTGAACAGGACTGTTGTTCACAGAGAGAGAACAGAACAGAACAGGATTATATCTTAAGAATTGCTTAAACAGTATTTAGCTCTATGACCAGAAGTCTGTCTGTTCATTCTCAAAAGGGCAAATTATTATTCAAAGAAGAACAATATTTTGAAAGTTCAAGTGTAGGGACCCTCGAGGATGTCAGGAAATATCAGTCATGAATATGAAGTATTTTTCAGTATCAAATCTGGAGAACCATTGCTGGACTACTGCGGTCACTGCAACACCACACTGAGACTTACCGAAGGACCTTGGGCTCCAGGCAAACCAACATCTCCTTTTTCGCCTTTCATACCATTGGCTCCCTACAAAAACATTACAAAACAGCATTTATAAAGAGCTTTAATCTTATTAGCAATCAGTCTAGAAATTATAATAATTATTTACAAATAATTACCATTTTTTGAGAAGAATAATACAGCACACATTTAATGGAATTCCTTTTCTTTAATTCTGGTGTTAATTTATTAATAAACTGTTAACAAATGTAAAGGTATGCTTTTATATTGTCAGCTATCATGGGATGATATTTATGACAAGTCCTTAAGTTGGCACTCCATTCACGATATATTAACTGTGGATACATTTTTGGAATTGTTTCTATTTTTACAGAGAAATGTCATTTGTACATATAAATGTATATAGGAATAGGAGGAATGCATCCCGTAAATATTGATGCATTTTCTCTCCCTCCTCAACCTGAGTCATCTGAAATTCCTGACAAGTGTTCAAAACACAGCTCCATTCTCCTACAAGCTACACTTGCCCAAGTTGTGCTATACATTACAAGAGAGGTACAAATCTGATCAGCATGCCAACTCATCTCTCTCTTCCCAAAGCAATATTTTGTTTGACCGCAAGTGGGATGAAAAGTTCTGATAATCTTACACCTCCTCCTAGATTAGCTGCAGAACAATCTCAGAATTTTCCTCTCCAGTGCTTTCTGTTCCATCTGCAATTTATCAGCACTGTTGGAAATTCCTGATAGTGGAAGAGAGAAAAAATACAAGTATTGTAGCTAAAATTAATTCATTTTTCATACTCACTGGCAGGCCAGGCAGTCCAATTCCTCCCTTTTCTCCAGGCATTCCAGGATCACCTGTATCTCCTTTTGAGCCTTTAGGACCCTAAAATACGTACTTATTCAGCAAGTTGTGTGAAAAAAACCAGACAACCCAACAGAATTCTACCTTTGATCCTAATAAACAGAAAAAGTCATTCTGTGGATTGTCCTTTGTTATTATTATGTAGAAATGCAGCCATTATTAGACCACAGAGTATGCAGCAACACAATAATGCTCCTTATTAATTACTATCATTATATTATTATTTAGATTATGAAATCTAAGCTACAACATGGGATCACAGAAATAATCTCCTGAAATAGCCTATGGCTGCTCACACAATCTGCACTACACAATTTATGCATAATGTACCTGCTCCCCATCAACTCCTGGAGTTCCTGGGGATCCTGGTTCTCCCTGCAAAAGATAAGATGGAATTGGATTATCCCAATTGTCCCAGCCGTTAGAGGGAAGAGGCAGTGCTAAATGAACTAAACTGCTTAGTAATGTCTGAGATTAGTAAATTGCCATAATTAACAACAACAAAACCAGAGAATATTCCGTCAAAAAGAGCAGCGTATGTACAATAGCAGGATTCAACATGTTGAATAGAGCCCTGCTGGTTAGGCCAATACACAAGCTTTGGGTTGTATAAAGGCCAGATGAGTGCACAAGAAGAAAGAAAAAAGAAGAAATCCCAGAAGCCTGGTGAAAAGACCCCAGTCCAGTGGAAACTTTGTGTCAGCTACTGCAATAAATATGGAATCATGGCTCTCGATATATGTAGGGTAGACAGAGACTTTATGTTTTATTTCCCTGGCTAATATAAATCACCCAGTGAAGGAGTTCATATTCACGACATTCTGTATGCACCAGTTCCTGAATAGCACTCTCCGAGGAAACAAGTTACATAGATGGGTAGAGACTACGATACTGGAAACAAACTCCTGTAAGGTTGACTTCTGTTTTATGTTGTTAACTTTGAATGGGAATGCTCACCCATGTGAAGGAACATAACCTCTTCCACACTCCAATTCCTCTGTGTTTTACAACATTGTCCTGGTTTAGTCTGGGATAGAGTTAATTTTCTTCCCAGTAGCTGGCACAGTGCTGTGTTTTGGATTTAGTAGGAGAATAATGTTGATAACACACTGATGTTTTAGTTGTTGCCAAGCAGTGTTTATACCAGTCAAGGACTTTTCAGCTTCCCATGCTCTGCCAGGTGCACAAGAAGCTGGGAGGGGGCACAGCCAGGACAGCTGACCCCAAGTGGCCAAAGGGCTATTCCAGACCATATAGTGTCATGCACAGCATGTAAAGCTGGGGGAAGAAGAAGGAAGGGGGGAGATGTTTGGAGTGGTGGCGTTTGTCTTCCCAAGTAAACCTTAGGCGTGATGGAGCCCTGCTTTCCTGGAGATGGCTGAGCACCTGCCTGCCCATGGGAAGCAGTGAGTGAATTCCTTGTTTTGCTTTGCTTGCGTGCGTGGCCCTTGCTTTACCTCTTAAACTGTCTTTATCTCAACCCACGAGTCTTCTCACTTTTACCTTTCCAATTCTCTCCCCCATTCCACCGGGGGGAGTGAGTGAGCGGCTGTGTGGGGCTCAGTTGCCAGCTGGGGTTAAACCATGACAAACATACTCCAGGCTGCAGAAATGCTGGGTAGATCCTAATGCAGAAAGCCATTTCTGCACACTTAACTATGTATTCCATGATCAGTTTTCATGTAGGAGAATGAACCCGGTTTCTCACTTTCTCAAAACAATTAACATGTATAATGTGATGTATTTCCATATGATACGTTGGATGAAACCTAAAATTCAGATGTCTAGTATTGTTACTGAAGAAACATGTATTTACTGAGAGAAGCTAGGGTATATCTGGTATTTAAGAAATAGGAGAATTGTATCAAGTAATTTAAAACCAGTTTAAGGAGGGTCCACTAATTGCAACACTTTTTTTGTTTTAATGTATAGGCAAATTTATTATTTAAATTTTATAGAACAGCACAGCATATGGTATTCATATGGCATTCATAGTCTCTGTGTGGGCTGCTCACTAATAGTTCTGGTACCACACATAGCACCAGCCAGGTGGGATTAGCAGGCTTGGGTTTGCAGCCTGGCTCCTGCTCACATGTACGCGTTTTAATTTCTACTGAGATTAGAAAATGCCGTGCTTATTTGGGTGGGCACCGCTGTAATATAAAAGCTGCATTTGCATGCACTCATACTGTGGGCCAGCGGTGCCTTGCTCACGCTGGTTTGCCTACCTCATTCCTACCCATGTGATGTGATGTGTAGGAGCCACTGTCTGCTTGTGCAGCTACTTTGCAAATACACAGAGCACCCTCCGCAGCAGAGGAACAGCCTCAGTGCAGGACCATGGGGGAGATGCTTCTGCCCTGTTTCAGTACTAATTCATTTTGCTGGTTCACAGCCGAGCATCTGCGTGTGGCATCTAAACAAAGCACCTATTCTGGAAAGCCACATTTCAAAAGGCTAGGACGCCAAGTTTGAAACATGCCATATTCAGTAAAATCTCAGTTAAATATGCTGTGCAGGAGAGCTCCATGTACCTGTGTGCACACACGAGTTAAAAAATCAGAAAATACTTCCACCCTTAAGATACAAGGGGTAAAATAAGGAAGGTCACCTTTGGTCCTTGCAGCCCTTGAGGTCCTGGTGGTCCTGGTGGCCCCTAAACAGAAGCATACAAACCTCTCAGCTTTTAAGTAAATTCCTGCAGGACTTGCCATGTAAACACAGGCTGAATGTTAATATAGCTACTGTAATAAAATGGGTTAGATTTTTGACACAAGGGGAACCAAGACAAGATGTGGACGAGTTGTTAATCTATGACAACTCTCAACAAACAGAAGGGTACCACAAAAAGCAATGTTGAAGTAACAGTACAGCTCGTATTTTATAATAAAGTCCTGCTGCTCCCATTGATGAAATGGCAAAGCTTCTCTTAATGGCAGGGAGACCAAAAACTCAGCTCAGCCACATTTGCCAGCCCTTACCTCCTGATCCAAAACAATCCAAGGTCAGGAGAAACCTCCAGCTGATTGCAAAGAGGATTCTGCTAAAAGATGCTAAGTGCATTTGGGGATACCCAGTGCTTTGTGAAATTGCCATGGAATAAGTTGTAACTATTTCTTTCATTTCTACCTCAGGCTGTGGACACAGTGTTGCATATCAAATATTGATCTGGATGGTGCACAGTGGGGATGCTTTAAAAAAAAAAAATTAAAAATCCGCTCCATTAATATAGAGAAGCATTAGTACAGATGGGAAAATAGGACTAACAGCAATCTTGCAGAGAAGAACTTGAAATAAAAAGAATAAAATAATTTGCCTATACCAAGTCTGCAGCTTTTAGGGAAGGCTGAACCTGCAATACTATAAGTATCTCCTAGCCGGTGTCAGTATTCTCAGAAATTGTGTCTGGCCTGATGTGGCTAAACCTCCCACAGAAATTGGCTGGAGTAAGAGCACTGGCGTGTTCAGTCATCCGCACATTCTGGGGACAGGTGCTGGAAAATTTGCATTTATTTCCGAGATCTGGTAAGATGGGACAAGAGGATCCCTCATACTTGGGCTTTCTACTTAGCTTTGCTTACTTATAGTTAATGGAGTCAGGTGTTTTTCAGAAAATAATTTGCATCTGGTCTGAAAACTCCCAAACAATGTCTTCACAAGCCAATTGGAAAGAACTGAATTTCTGCCCTGAAAAGAAGATTGATAACAGAAAATTATTTGGCACTCAAATTCTGCTTTGTGTTTTCGCTTGACTCCCATGTAGATACACAGAGATGGGAACATACACCATAAATCCCAAAGCAGCTGTCTGCCTAAAGGTGTACCTACAGAAATACTGAGGTCCATATTTTCCTTGTCTCTTAAGTGAACTGAAAATTTGCCATACTGTTGAATGGCTTTCAACAATGTGTTCTCTGCTATGGGAATGCTAAGCAAATAAATAAATACACGTGATGATGAACAGAGTCAACATCCAATGAAGACATGTCCTGAACTGGCAGAATTATGAACATGCTATGACACAAAGGAATTCTACAACAGACAGTAAGTCATGCGATAGGAATTACCGTGACAGTCAGGGTGGCAATCCTCTGTTGGCAAAATGTATTAAAAAGAGACACCGTTACCAGAACTGAACAAAGATATAAAATATTCTGCTTGCTACAATTTAGCAACCTCCATAAAACCTATGCTTCATTTGGGATACACCATGCATCCAAAAAAAAAAAGCTACCAGCTTTTTGTACCAGCTACTTGGCTTCTATGGGAATCTGGATTTTACATAAGTGAAGACTGCAGGTTCTCGTACAATTTAAGTGATCAAATAAATAATAAAAGATGCTAAATAGCAAAATAATATCCAAAGTCTTTAAAAGTTTTTTTTAAAAAATATTTTAAGATAATATGGTGAGTTGCTATCTTAAAATGAATAAAAGACTTGCCCCATGTTTTGCAATCTCTGGAGGTTTTGTAGTACTGTTTAATTAACAAATACAGTTCCTAGAGTAGAGACGTAACATTTATTTTCATACATAAAATAAGATGTACAAAAAATTTAAGTTCTTAAATCTGAAACTGCTAGCCCAGAAACTCAGCTGTATATACTACAATTCTGCTTTAAATGACTGGAAAGACAAAGGACATTTTCATCATGGAAGGAGGCAAAATATCTTGACCCGCCACTATTTTCTGCCAAAGAGGAATCTGAAAGCAAGTGAAAAAGTGTTTAAAAGTAGTTAAAATGCTTGTCTATAATTTTAAACAGAGTAAAAACCCCAAATACTGCTGCTTGCACAGTGCTTTCCTATAGCCTGTGAAGAACCTCCTAGCATACATGGAATAAGAAATATTTAACTTCTCTAACTGTTTTCCTATGTGCAAACAAAAGTTTGCAAATCTGTTTTAAGCTTTAAAAGAATCTTCATTTGCCAGTGCAATAATATGTACTGCTGTCAAAAATTTGGAACCTGCTCAATACAAAGTACTTAAAAAAAAAGTTCTCCAGCAGATTACTTGAATAAATTGATGTCCTTTGCATTTAAATATATTTATGGAAGTATGTCAAGAATTTTAAAAACCATGAAGGATTCAGTTTATGTAATATGAAAACCTAAAATAACCATTGCAAATTAGTGTTTGCACGTTCACACTAATGGGTTCCTTTTCAGAAGCATCTTCAGATTTTAATGTCTAAATATCCTGTACTTCCTGCAAAGGTTAAACTTCTGCAGCTACCGCCTTTTGCCTTAGGAAATTCTGCAGAATAGTCCTAAAGAGCAATTTCAATAGACGCACACATTTTGTATCTGGTCCTCCAAGTGTATGTGGATACACTCAGCAGGGGTCTTGCTCAAACTAGGATGAGAATTTTAAGATCACAATTTTCAGTGCTGATGGGCTAAGACATCTTATTCTCCACTGACACATGAGATTGAATAGGAGACACAAGGCAAAGTAACTAAATTGCTCTGAAGCTCCTAGGCTGCTTGATGGTTATTACTAAATTCTAAAAAAGCAGACAGGCAGCCCAGATCTTGCAAACTCTTGTCAGCGTCTTAAATCAGCAGGCCCAATTCTGTGCAAGTTCACAGCTCAGTGCTGAGCACTGAAAGTTCCCATTTGCTTCTATGGGAGAGCTGCAAATCTCAGAGCCCTTAAGAATTTGGCACCAGGAGACTTAGGAGTGGGTGCTTGCCATCTGAAAGGACTGAGGTGGATGTGGCAAGGATATTTTTGACAGATCCCATATAATCTTACTTACACCATCCTTGCACAGACATTCCCATTAATATAAACAATTTGTTGCCCTGGATCAGAAGGTGATGACATTTGAAATTATTTGCAATGGGATAAGGGCTTCCTAATCTGTTTCAACCACAGCAATAGGCTTTAGGCCCTTTTTAAGACTACTTTATGTGATGCAGCTTTTCTGAGGAAGCTTGAAAGTAAGACTGATGCCAGAGTTAAGATTCAAAGACAGAATACAGGAAATACAGGGGCTAAAGCCCCTGGTAAATCTGTGTCTGGTAATATACAGCACTAATTTCAGGCTACTTGAGGCATCTAACTCAGAGAGTGATTTAAAAGACTGAAAGTTGTGTGTTTGAATTCCCTTAAGGGTAAACCAAAAGAGAGGTATAGTGCAGTGCCTCATAACGTGCCCATGTAGACTTCCCTATAGACACCACTCACAATGAAAGAGTGGACTTAGCCTTAACACCACACAGGCTTTTTGATTTAATAATGGCAGCGAGATTTTTTTTTTTTAAATTTTTTCAAAAGAGTCTTGAAAACCAAATGACTGGCCAGACATCTATCCACTCCCACTGAGTAAAATGCAAGAGAAAAAGTTCAGCGGCTTCAGTGAGAAAATGCTCAGATGCACAATGAGCCAAATTCAGTCTTGAGTTGCACATAAGCAAGCCATTCACTGCGGTGGAGTTACACGGCACAGCATTTGCATCTGAGTATACTGCAGTGTAGATCACCTTAACTGCAATGACATATGTCACCTTGGTACTTTGCTTTTATGCAAACACTCATTCATACTTTTTGTAACCCCACTTTAATCTTCCACACTTTTCTGCACACCAGTCAAAATAAGTTTTCTGGAAAAGAATAAGTGGGAAGACTGGTCTATTTAACATACTCAAGTTGCTGATTGAATCCACAGCTTGCTAATGGAACCACGTTACAGGGCTTCCAAATCTCAAATATTCTGCTCTTTGCATTTTATAGGAAGAGGAGAAGGAAAAGGAGGAAAAAAAGAAACGTCAACATTATACCACATGAACTGAAAAGCAGAAACCTCTGTCGAACCTATGTATGTGGTTTATTACATGAATTCAGCACTAAGCACCAGAGCCAGGAATGAATCAGCTTTATCCTCATTAGATGATGTCAATACTCTCCAGGGGAAATGAAACTAATTCACTCAGCTAAATTGTATCAAGGAAACAGTTTGTCTAACACCAAACAGCAAACCTGGTTTCCAAATGTAGAAAGAGATTCCTGATTAATAAGCTCAGCAAACCTTTGCACACAAAATTTTTTCACGGCCTACACGAAAGAAAAATGCAATTATGTCAGACTGCTTTTTCCCAGACCAGACTAAGCCACTCCAGCCTTGTTCTGTTTGCGTACCTGCAGAGCTTCATGGATATTGCCGTTATAATCAATTATCTCTGTTGCGCCTTGATCACCCTTCTGTCCAGGTGGTCCCTGTAATACATTTTCCATAAAAAATTTTGAGACACCTGCCAAAGGCTACTCTAGACAAATGATTTGACTTGACAGTGCAGTGCTGGAATCTTGTTGTACTTACAATGTATTACTACAAGCCACAAAAGTTAGCATTAAACTAGAGATTGTTTTTAAAGGAAAACGATTTTTTAAAAGGACAAATATAAACAAGCAAGTCGGTACACAGAGACTTGTGCTGCAGTGGGCAAGCAAATATATGAAACCTCTGAGTTTAGATATTTAAGCAGTTCCTATACTCCGGTTCAGTGTTGGCTGTGAATAATGTCAGAACATCTGCCGTGTAACATCCTGCCCATGAACTGTGAAGAGGAGACTGCTTGAAATAGTAGCAAGGGCTGTTATTCATATTAAAGGCCAGTTAGCAACACACATTCCACCAGAGCAAAGTGCCCAATTTCTCTGGTTTAACTGGAGTTGCTGCTACAATTTCAATTCGTAGTGTGGACTGAGTCTGAGAGTACAAAACAAAGGGCTGAAATGAGAAGCAGACTTACCCGTGGACCCGCAGACCCTGTGTCACCTCTGTCGCCTGTATCACCCTATGTAAAAATGATATTTGAAAACAGATATGCCACTTGACAATACGTCACTTAGTTCTTCCCTTTTAAACATGTTTGCCTTAAATAAAATGGTTTAAAAGGCCTCTAATCGTAAACAGAACGTGGATCTAAATTAATTAAAGAAAAAAACCCTTCGAAATCTATGTAGTGGCAGGGTTGACAATGATGCATTTGGTTCTGTGTGAATTGTTACTGAGTGCTCTATTGCATTGGAATAAGAAATGCCAAAGACCAATAAAAGGTAGATTAGCAATTATGTAATTTATACAATTTCCCTATTCGTAATGGTACTATTATCAAAAGCTTTAAGAGAAAGCTAGAGAAATTAAACCACTGAGGCTGAAATCTGAAAACACTCAACAAATTCTTCAAAGGTGTGTTTCAAAGTGTATAAACTGTTCTTTCTGCGATCACGAATCCACTAACTTTCTGAACTTCCCTGCTCCGAGTCCGTGCCTCCCCTACAAACACAACATTACTGTCAGCATCAGAGTTCCTTTACTTCCTTACTGCAACAGACATGAAATCTTTACCATCTTGCGCACAGCTTTTTCTTCCTGGCTATTAGTAGTATGTTTCAAGCGATAGAGGGAATTTCAAATGTGTATGCATTCATAACCCAAATTCCAGTGACTACATTTCATTTCATTTCACAGTCACTTTTTATAGCAAGCTCTTATATTTTCCTATTACTCAAAATGAATTTGGGTAAGAACAGCAACTTTTGCCCCTGTTGAAATCTATAAAACTTTGGTACGAGTCAGGGAAGAATGATCAATTCACCAGTGGTAATAGAAAACACAGAAAACTGTCGTGGGGCTAATGAAAAAATATGGAGAGCAGGCCGGTGGCAGGAAATAATCAAGGCTGTGCCATCTGCCTTGCCTTTCAGCATTGCCTCGGCAGCAGCTAGTGAACATGCCATTGGAATTGTTAAAAAATAAGGATCCCAAACACTAGATTGACTGCTGTGGGCCAGATTTTCAAGACAGGTATGCAGATAGAATGAAAATAATATATCCTTTTTTGATAAAAAGGCAATTAAAGGGGTTATTTTTATCTTTTTGGTGCATTTGGGAGGTGCCCAGGTACCGTAGGCAAATGAGAGGCTGATTTACTCTTCTGCTTTCACTCTAATGCTTTAATCCCCTCATCAGCTCCCTCACCTTCCAATGTTTCTTTCTGTTGAGAATGAATGAGGGTAAGTGGCACTTATTTAATCATATCCTTAAGCACTGTGAATGGGCTGTTCTTCAAGGACCTTACAAGCACTGAAAACAGTATCCTACCAGCCTACACTGTCTCGCCATCTATACTCTGACAGTAGACCAAATAACCGCCTAAAAAAATCTATTTTCATTTTGCTTTGACTCCATAATGTAACATGAAGGAGTACAGTGAGCACAGTATTTGCACAGCAGATGAAGGAATAGAAAAGCATATCATTTATACCTCTCTACATGTATGTGAACCAACTATATCTACATAGAGATGGATGGATGGATGGATGGATGGATGGATGGATAGACAGATATAATCAAAGTAGTTTTTTAAAGAAGGTAAAACAGTAATGTAACCTACAAGTCTTGCCTTTGTAGGACTTGTAGCCAGCATACCTCAGCCTGCAGTACATGGAATACCACCGATTCCTAACTCACCAAAGTGTGGATCCACAAAATTATTGCAAAACCCAAATAAATCTCCACAGGCGTAGTCAGATGTTGGGTCCTGGCATGTGGGAGGACTAACCCACACCAGTTACACAGAGAGAAACCAAGTTGCACGGGGAAAACCAGAGCAGAGTGGAATAGACGTTATAACAGAGAAAGAAGTAGAATCACAGTGTTTAAAACACACAGGATTTGACTCTAATAGCTAAAGCTGAAAGTCAAAAGTTTTCACTTACAAAGAACACTGAAGACTGCTACAGGTTCTTTAAAGAGGTAAGTGAAGTTTCTGTGAAATGTTACAAATAATTTATCCTAAAAATCATTGTGTTAATTACTCCACTAAAGACAATTTCTTTACTACTAACCTTTGACCCTTTGGGGCCTCTAGATCCAGGTTCACCTGTTTTCCCCTGTTTGAAGGAAGATAGACAGGAGAAAAATGATAGAGAAATGGGAGTGCAGAGAAAAAGAAATTAGTAATGACTAGCTACGGTATGGAACAGCAGAAACAGTTCATTTTATATGACCAAGATTATGAATCTGTAAAGCCACTCAATTTAATAGTACCCAGAGTAATATATTCTTTAACACCAGCATGCAAAGGCCACAGATTCCATCCTTCCAAAGGAAAAGTAGTATTGGCATTAGTATAGAGTAGACATCATTAACACTGGTTTGCAGGAATGACCTATGTCATTCAATAGCTCCTGAAAAATGATAGGGAAGAGATAGAGAAGATAGAATATAGTTAAATATCTTAAAATAAGGAGATTAAAATAAAGTGTTACCACAACTTTTCCCAATGGTTCAGGTGAACAGAAACCAACTGGCCAAGGAACATAGAATCTGCCTGTTGTTTTCAAGATGAATTAGGAAAGGAAAAGTTGGTGGTATTTGACACAGTGGAAAATATTAAGACAACTCTAAAATGTAGTTAGAATGACCTCTTTCTTATAGAGTTAGAAAACAGCATGCAAAATGGATTTTCTCTGCATTCAATAGCTACACTTGTCAAAGAGTTCAAACTTGAATGCTGAAAGTTAGGGACCCGGAGGTCAGGACTTTAGCTGGAATGAATTAGGCCAACTCCATGTCAGTGTATGTAGGTAGTGTCTTTACTTTGTAGACCAAGTAAGAGTCTGTTCAGACTGCAGTTCCACAGCTGTGAACACAAAACTGCCATTGTCTTCTGGACAGAACTGAAGCATTTGACAGAATTTTCATTTAAAAACTCACTCGCCAAGT